TTTGAATTTGATTTGAAATCAAATCAAACTCAAACTTAGTTAGGAGTTTGATTTGATTTGATTTGTTTAGAACCCTACGCACGAGATTAAACTCTGAAAGCTTTTCGGCAAGCTTGATTTCGGATAGTTGGAAGAACCGGTAAATACCGTCATATTCAAGATCTATCATGCAAAAGTATATGTGCCCTTCTATAATATTTTTATGAGTAGGTGGTTTAAAAAAAATGAATTCACCAATTGCAAAGAACACTAACCACATATGTAACCTCCAAAGGTCTGTACTCCTGATTCATCTTTGCGTAATAATATTTTGTTTATGCCACTTTGGCACAATCTTGCTATTTTGTAGAGGTTATATCCTCTAGCTTTACTTTCTCTTGTGACTAAGAAAGGTTGTATTTCAAAACACAATCCCCGTGTTCTTCTTTATTTATAATTTTAAACACAAATAAGTCTGCTTTATTCTGTTCGCATTGAGAATTCGCCCTTTTTAAAGTAAAATTAAGAAAATCAAAGACATAAACGATGAATAATCATAAATATAAAAGAATTTACCAAGCTATATCACAATTCGAATCTCGAAAAGTTTCCTTAAGGACATTATCTACATATTCATACGTTATGGTGTCTTTATTTTCATCTTTATGTAGATCCGAGAACATATGCAACCTCTCATAACTTAAAGAAAAGAAAGGTCAGATAAAAGTCAATGGAAAAATAACGAAAAGGTAAAAATAAAAATAATTACAACGTGCGTACTACAATCTGTGTTGTCTCAAAAAGGCATCTTTCTTCATCTGAATAAATAACTTTGTCACAGTATTTGCCCCACATTTCGTAAAACTTTTATTGAAGTTTGTCGATGTCATTTATAACCTATTATTGATCGTATATTGTATAAGATAAATTGTTAATCTGCGCATATCAACAGTATATCATTACTTTTTCATATTCGTTCATGAGATCCAAAAAAAAATTTGCTGGATCAGGTTGAACTGGGTGTCGTATCGAAGCACGCCAACTCCGCTCATCTATAGTTATATATGTTGGTCTTTTCATTCTAGTTAAATCAATCAGCATTATATGATGAAGAGACCTTAAATATACAAAGACTTCATTAGCCAATCGTGTCATTGGGTGTGACATTGGGGTATGCCGTTAGCTATGATATAAAAATGATAAACATATACTACTATCCTTGATCACTATATTGCAATCTAAAAAATTGTTTACTAGTAATTTTACTAATAGATTTCACATGGGTTGGTCTACATAGTTGACCGCACACCCCATTGTGACATGTTTACCTGGATCAAACTAACTTACAAAATTTCATCAACATCCGATAAGAAGAAAAAAGTCACACCGCCTTCCAATTTATCTATGTTAGCAATCTGATAGTCACGAAAAGACTTTGAAATGTTATAACCTTAATATTCCACTAAAGCAGTGAAAATGGATGCAAATAGTCAGTATGATTCCAAACAAATGCTGAATTAGAACGATCAACTTACATCTCTTCGTGAAATACAATCTCGAATATCATGCTGTATTTTCAAATACATTTCATATGATATAATAAATGTGTCTTTATCTTTTGTTGTAGTTCTTATCTTTACATATATGTGAAAGATAAGATTTGAATTTTATTACAGGCTGTATACTAAAAAATGAAAAAAATGTAACTACCTGGTTTTCTGGTGTTTGTAATGGTTCATTTCCTTTTTCTATCTTATGACATTTATATGAAGTATCTTCACCATTGGCTTGTTTATTGACAGTTGAAATAATTTCATCCGAACTGCGAAACCTTATTTAATTGAGAACTCTTATGCCTTCTATAACGTAGTTTTTTGCGACATTTCTCTATTTTTTTGTTTTTTTTTTTTTTTAAAAAAAAATATAATTCTTGTAAAAATATCAACATTGAAATTCACTAAATTATGCTAACCTTTTCACGTTCAAGAATAATGTCTTGGAAAAATGATTTCATTTGTCGAGGTTCATTTATTCCGCCCTATTCAATGAAAGAGTATTGAAACCTTCAATAAAACACTATATCATAAATATAACTACAACACAGAAGTGCATTTTATTAATTATTCAGGCGTCGAAACTTTAGCAAAATCTATGAACCATACTACACTATAAAATATGACTAAAATCCAGAAGCGCTGACAATAATAGATGTTTTTTTTTGGAGTTAATAAGCTTGTGTAGCAAGAAACCTTTCTTTACCTTTCCGGCATGATAAATATATCTCTTATACCATGTACCTCCTAAACCCGTCCAATCATTACTAAATGGTGGTGAAGTTATAATTGTTTCTTTTAATTCATTTAAAAAATGTTCGTAATTCCTTGCTTTTTTATCGTAAGTTTTGAAATATTTTATGATAGCTGGAAAACCCAGTAAAGAAGATCAATCCATTGTTGAAAACATGTCTGCAAAATTAAAGGACTTACCTTCGTGTTCAATATAGGGTTCCATTAGTTTTGGTTTTTTGTTTAATTTGTTCGTATCAGATATGTCGTGTTTTTTTTACAGTGCGGGAATTAAGTACCCTAAAAATGTTGGGTCATATGATGATCTGTGGGTAAATTATCCAATAATGGGGGTCGATTAAAGCAAGGTGCGTTTGGTATAAATTTGGGGTCGTCTAAAGCCGTGTCCATCACATGACCTAAAGCCAATAGAATTGTTTATTTTGATTGACACGGATCAGCCCGAAGAGACAAAAAACAGCGAAAAAAAGTGAAAATCGCAAAAAATACAAGAAACAATAGTCTAAACCCATCTTGGTGCATTAATAAAAAATGTCGGGAAGACAATTTTACTATAAGACATGCCCTGACCCTAACCCCAAACTAACCCTTACCCTAACTTTAATTAAAAACTAAAAACACGTGACTGGACACGGCTTTAGACGTCCCCCAAATTTGAAAATGATCTACATGCTGCATAAATTACCTTATTGATATTTACATAAACCACTAACTATTACTGCATCAAAAACGTAACCCTAACTGCATCAAAAAGGTAACTTTGACGCACCTTGCTTTAAGCGACACCCAATAATGAATCTTGATTTTGTGTAACATAACACGATCAGGACAATTCAAAACAAACGTTCGCTTTTCAAAAATCACAAGAAACCTACAAGAAACCGCCTTCTGCGCTCTAACAAAAAAATTTCCTTGAGAGATTTTACATATATCCCACTAAAAATCTAATCCTAATCTGATTATAAATAAACTTTAAAGAATTTTTTGACCAACACACGACTCAAACATTTTTCGCCATGGCTGGGAACTATCCACCAAAATTTCACCCCAAATTAGTGTTAAAATAATGCGAAATATTTAAATGATCATGTGATTTTATAGTATTATGCTTAGGGTTGTATCATTATACTATACCGTATTATACCACTAGTATAATACTGGTATTATACCACTAGTATAATACTGGTATTATACCAGGTATTATACTGGCCTATATTGGTATAATACCGGGAATAGTACAGTAGATAACTGTCTAATTGCATGTCATCCCGTCAGAGACTTTTTTATACATATAGACAGTATATACATTTAAGTCATAAGAACCATTTTGGTGTTAATAATTAAAGCTAAAATTTTTTATGCACTTAGAGAGTATATACAATTAGACAGTACTGCAGTATGCAATTAAACAGTATTGACTATATTAGCAATAATTAAAACTGCCAATCAGATTGCAGTATTTATTCAATAAATGGATATGAATGTAACACTTTATATTTGATAGGTTTGGTCAAAATTTTGACAATAAAATCTTAACAAATTATAATTTTGACCTATTTATATAAAGTTTAAATTTATTTGCTGATATAAAATTAATGAATAATACAATAATAATAATATTCAAAGTTTAAAAAAAAGTTAAATTTGCAAAGGGTGTAAATAATAAATCTGGGGGTATAAAAAATAATTCCTAAAGAAAAAATATCTAAAAAAATACAAAGGTATAAGTAAGTATAATAAAAGAAAATATATATAAAAAAGATAAGAAAAAAGTAAAAAAAAATATATATATATCACAATTTTAAGCCTATATTAAGTATAATAAAATTATATACTACTATCTAAACTAGTCTTTATTTTAAATTTATATAATAAGTATATTTAGTAAAAATGATATAGAAAAAAATATCTTTTTTGATTTGAGCACTATAAAAAGATCAAAAATCTACACTTTAATTACAAGATATTGTTTGTTTAAGTTATCATATTCGAAGTATATAATTTATATATTTGCTTTTTTTTTTTTGTAGTCAAGGTTAGCCTCTTTGGCTTATCATATTTATTAGATTATAGAATCATATAGTGCTTTTTTCAAGAGGGCCCCAGACAAGTATATTTTAATGAGAGTATATTTTAGCCATACTTGTACTTTTTGAGTGTCTAATTTAAGTATATTAGATGCTATAACTATAACCTATCTATTATTTAAGTTATTTAATTAAATCTTCTAATTTGAGTTTCTTATGGCAATCTATTTAATCTCATCCAGAACATGCAATACATTATTCAGTCCAAGTTCCAGAATCATTGCAAACTATTTATAGGACTACCAGTTTGGTTAACTGATTCATCCTTGAAGTTATTACCTGCTAGAGTAGTCTGATACTCACTGTTACTATATTACCTAGTCTTTTTCGAATAAGTCTTGCTGAATAGGTTTTATATTTTTATGTGCAGACTATATTGCCAATTTCTTTCACAGATAAGTTTACTAGATAGGTTCTAAACCTTTATGGATAGGCCATATTGCTAAACTCGCTGACTCTTGCAAAGTTTACACAAACTTTGGTATCTTCTCTTTAAGACAACTTGTATCTTTTCTTTCAGTACTTCTTAGTTAATCTCTTCAGACTACCAATCCAGATGGTTTGGAAAGAACACCAGTCCTATAGTAT